TGCCGGCGCAGCGAAGTGGAGCTGGCAACTCCGTTTGGCGGAAGGGCGGGCCTGCTTGTTGGGCTAGAGGGAGTTTTACTCACAAAAGACCAAAAATTTTTAGAAAATATTTGATGGTCTCCTAGAAGGTAACTTATGTAAGTAGAGCCGTTTAGGGTAAATTTCGTCCGTTTGGCTCTAACTCTCACCGTTTATGCGATAAAGGGAGTTTCTCTCACTAAAGTGGCCCAAGAATAAAAATATTCTTTTAAGAAAATATTTGATGGTATCCAAAGGGGTTAATCGTAAATGAAGAAACCCTCTAGTCGGAAATGTGCCCGGTCTGGCTTTCACTGTTTACTTACGATACCAAAATAGCTAAAACAGAAATATTTATATTTTTTCAGGAGTACACTTTTGTCTGAGAAGTATGCCGTCGGTTCAAAATTTTCGTCTAGGCAGAAGAGTGGGCTTATTTTATCATTAATAAAATGTGCACACTTCAATGCAAAAAACAACACCAAAATACATTTATTTCGTCGTTCGGACACGTTCGGAGACATTCAGAGTATGCCTGGAAGTATATTTAACTTCTTCTAGAACCAGTCTTATATATCTTTTCATAGGTGTGTTATTAGATCCATAAGCTAACATAAATAATTTCTGGTTAGAACTCGCTTCGACCCACCTAACTGCCAGGTACATTTGATTTCTTAAGTAAATGAAATGTAACAACTAAAGCATTCTCTCAATACGCCGCACATCGTTAACTGTTTGTGCCGTGGTTTGTAGAATATAGCCCTATCGAGCCCTATGCAAATTATATAAAATTCCTCCTATTCATGTAAGTTTGTAAACTCAATAACACACCTTTTAAAAATATTTAAGACTGGCTGAGCGATAGCGAAGCCTATTACTCCAGTGAAGATCAAAAGGTTTCGAGTCCGAGTGTGTGTGTGTGTGTGTGTGTGTGTCTGTCTGTCTGTGTGCACGATAACTCGAGAACGAGTTGAGCTAGCGACCTGGGATTTTAGGGTCGTTTTGTGTCACAAAAAGCTAGGCAAGCTCTTCCGCCAAACCAAAGTGCCAGCTCCGCTTCGCTCCACCGGCAACTCGGTTCGGCAGGGAAGAGGGCCTAGCTTGGCCTGCCGGCGGCGTTCGGGACGGGCCGGGACGGGCCTTTGGCCCGTCCCTTCTGACTTTTCATGTTGCAATAAAGCTTCTATCGGAGACCATAAAAAATATCTGCGAAAAAACATATAAATGTTTTGCGTTCATTTTCACGAAACACGAAACACTGTTGCGCTGCGACGCACCTGGCATACATCTACCTAGGACAAAAGGCAGAGTCGTAATGTGGCCTTCGGTCCCAAAAGTCAGTTGGCTACTCAGGGTTGTATTTTAACGAGTAATCCCAAAGGGGCCCGTCAAACATCTGCAAAAAAAAACCATTGAAATATTTTAGGGCCATAGAGCCAAACACACGAAATTATCGTCCTTCGGCTTCTACGTTGACTAGTTACCCCTTAGAAAGTCATAAAAATTGAGTAAAAATTAGCAATAGTTTCCTGATGCTTATTGAATAGTTTTTGGGCCAATTTTTGAGTAAGAGGGCTCAAAATCAATACAGTTCTTGCTTTTTACAATACAAAGTTCCTATGAAAATTTGGGCCTCTGAGCACAAACCGTTTTCGAATTATCGTGATTACAGAAACACAGACAGACAAACAACCAGACATACGCGAAACGTTTTGATCACCACTGGAGTAATAGGCTCCGCTAATCGCGCAGCCAATCAGGGATATGACATGTTTCATAAGTCTATGTTCAAAATTTTCATTCTTAAATTACGCCACTGAGAAAAGCGTTTTTTCTTGATAACCAAAAGCGTCCGAAAACAACGTATATTTAATCCCTCAAGACAACTAAACATTTGATCAAGAGTTCGAAACAAAATATGATGAGATCAATCACACCTCTATCATCATGACTAAATAACGCGATCAGTGCAACCAAAATTTGTCTTCCGCAAGTAAAATTTTCTAGGCTTTCGTTTTAGTTGCTCGGATCACATGGTTTTCTAAGTGTGTCCACGACCCGTCAACAATTGACAGTTTATTGGTTATTTTACTTATGGCGGTTTGTGGGACGTGTCTTAATACAGCCTTACCTTAGTCACGTTTACCTCTTTCAGGTTTTGCTCCTTGAAGCAGGCCCCGAACAAGAACACTCAACTTACGTCCCGACTTTTTATGGCTACACAAGAGCTGTACCTGAGTATGACTGGTACTTGAAAGTCCAAGATACTCCAAACGACCACACTGGATTTATCTCGAGGTAAAAACTCGCTTGCGATGACGGGGGCTGTTCAAACTAGCTAGGATTTACAACAGCTAAAGCCACAACCACTGTAAAAAATGTTTTGATATTTGTCATACAAGTCTGCAGGAAAAATCCCGTACGCATGTGGGATGCGAAATTTCCTACACACATGTGGCATTTTTCCTATACACTATTCCGTGTATAGGAAAATAACGATACGTATGTGAAAAACCCCAAACTTTTGTAGCAAGATGTCTACGAGCGTTAGGGAACTAATTTTCCAATACATGTGTGGGAATTTTGCTATATTTGTCTTGCACACCCGTACAGAAAAATGTGGCTTTACGATGGTCTCAGGATGGCTACGCAAGAGCCATTCCGGAGACAGACAGAAAACTGCCTGTAGCCATTGCTGAGACATTCTCCTGCCGCGTGAAATGGCTATAGAACGGCTACAGAATGGCTACTTTAGGGCCAGAAAGAGACATCCTAAAGCCATCGTCAAGCGAGCCTGATGCCCGTGCAAAGCCCCCACGGAGCCCCCACGGAGCCCCCGCGGAGCCCCCGCGGAGCCACCGCACACCGTGGAGTCAACGCGGAGACACTGCGGAGACACTGCGGAGCCATCCCGGAGCCATCCCGGAGCCACCGCAGAGACACTACAGAGACATCGCGGAGACACTGTGGTTTCCACGAAAAAAAATATAATTGTACCCATGTGATGCATTTTGAAAATTCAGCTTCCCGCCGCGATGGCCGCCGCCGCCCTCTGAGGCGATGTTTCGGTGAACCGGACCCGGTGGGAGTCGAACCACCGACTATGTGTTCCGCGCTCCGGTACGGTATCCACTGGGCCAGAGCGATCCGTTGGGAACAGGGACAGTCTCAGCGCACAATATCAGCAAGTCTCCATCAACGGATAAAATGAAATTAAGTGTGGTCTCCCTTTTCCGTAGCCTCTCATGTATCTACAGTCCATTTCCTCGCTTTAAGTTAAGTCTGAACGGTGTCAGAAGACGCCGTGCAGAAAAAACTGGTTGGGCGTCGACCGGGATCGAACCTCCGCTTACTATCCAGCCGCCAGGCACGGAGACCACTGCGCCACAGAGGCGACTGGTGGGGGGACGCTCGAGCGCGCTCCTTCTGCAATCGCTACCTCTGAGAATCGAGTGCATCGTCCCGGCTGAGTTGTAGTTCGTGTATATTGTAGAGTTTGTCAACGGATCGCTCTGGCCAAGTGGATACCGTGCCGGATCGCGGAACAGATATTCGGTGGTTCGATTCCCCCCGGGTCCAGTTGACCGCAGCATTGATTCAGAGGTCGATCTCACCGAGGCGGGTCCCAAACGCGGCGCGAAGCTGAATTTTCGAATGTCCATCTCATGGATACAATCATATTTTTTTTCGTGGAATCCGCAGTGTCTCCGCGATGTCTCTGTAGTGTCTCTGCGGTGGCTCCGGGATGGCTCCGCAGTGTCTCCGCGTTGGCTCCACGGTGTCTCTGCGCTGGCTCCGCGGCGGCTTCGCGGGGGCTCCGCGGGGGCTAGGCAGGCACGGGCATCAGGCTCGCTTGATGATGGCTTTAGACTGTCTCTTTCTGGCCTTAAAGTAGCCATTCTATAGCCAATTCATGTGGCAGCAGCATGTCTACCGAACGGCTACAGGCGGTTTCTTTGCTGTCTCCAGGATGGCTATTTAAATAGCCATCCTGAAGCCCAATCTTTTTGTACGGGCATTTCCGAAAGCGCAATAGAAAATTTACAGTTCCTGAAAATGTGAAACTTTAGAGCATTTTTATTTAGACGAAGGTCTGAAGAAATTCAGACAAGGAAGTATGAGTATTTAGTGTAGTCCCTGGAGCACACCGGTAGGATCAGGCAGGTAGCCGTCGGCGACCCCTCAGTTTTGTCATCGTGGCCATGTGGTCAAGTATGAGAGATTCCTAATCCGAAGGTCCGAGGTTCGACTCCAGGTAGGTAGGTAATAACGTACAATTACAAATTGTTATCGAGAGTACAATCCAGCTTAAAGGACGGCAAAGAGCGCCAAGAAAACTTCACTTTGAATGAAGATCTGAAACTCAGACTGGCGTTATGAAATTGCTATTCAGACTAAGATAACTAAAAATACTCACTAAAAATTCATACCACAAATTCAGATAAAACAGTCTGAATTTTCAGACGTTTGGTATGTAATTTTGCTTCGTACCAAATTGTCATATTTTTTTTAACAGTTTGGCCATGGCAAAATGAACAGCAATGGTTTGTAAATCAATTGGTCCATGGACAGACAATTTCATGGGCAGGAGGGTTTCCATGGCCACATCAATTCTTAAATTTATGAACAAGAGATGACCATAGCAGAAAAGCACCTTGGTTCATGGTCAAACCGTGTCTATGGGAGCAGCTGCTGTGTGCCAGCTGGCCATGGAATTGATCTCCCATGGTCAGAGTGCCCACAGAAATTGATTTACATGGCCGCAGCCTTATGGGAAAATCTCGTAGCTTCCATGTAGAATCTATGGTCAATTTCTATCTACAGGATTAGGTGATTTCTACGCCAAGTCGACGTGAATTACGTAGATTCAGGTGTAGTTAGCGAACGTCGAATCTACGTGGATAGGGTTACGTGGACGGCATTTCCCATGGGGAGGCTTCAGGCCGTGAACGCGCACACATCATGCCCACAACCCTGACCATGTAAATCAATTTCTGTGGGCACTCTGACCATTGGACATTTATTACATGGCCGTCTGGCACCAAGCTGCTCCCATGGCACGGTTTTACCATGAACCACAGCCTACTTGCCATATGGTCATATCTCGTCCATAGATTTATAAAACGATGTGGCGACGGAAACTACCGTTGACATGGCGATTCTGTTTATCATAGTCCTAGTGTGGTGCATGGCTTGTCATGGCTGAGGTGGTTTTCCTGGACGTGTCGACGTGTCCCAATGGTCAAAGGTTGTGACCATGACTCCACGTCCATGGACACAAACGCTTGTCATGATAAACGTAGATCATGAACACATCGACCCTAAGAAAAACATCCATACTCATAAACGTTGTAGTTGGCTATTGATTAGTTCTGTCACTGTCTTTGTGTCCATTGACAAGAGTATCATGACCAAACTTTATTGTGTTCATGGACGTCCTACAACACACTGATGGTTGTAACCATGGGCACATTCATGGACTTTGTGGTGACCTTGAAAGAGAAATCTCATGCTCATTCCTTGCCATGAAGCACATTAGCCATGGCCACACGGTAAAAACGAAGTCCCATTTTTTGAGGAAAAAAGGAAAACTTTGAGGAAGTCAGTAACTTTGAGAGATCTTTCTTGAAAAATAAGAACGGCCCTCAAAGCAAGTCACAAATTTTGAGGAAGTCCCCAAACTTAGCGTGGCTAACATGACGAGCTGCTGCGGCCACCTCGCTACTTTAGGGCCTTGTAACATCTGATCTAATCGTCAGCTGGTCAAATTTAATGTGTTTCTTTTAGTTTTAGAGCTGCGGAACTCTTCCTACAAAGTTTGATGTGTGTAAGATGAGAAGAAACGAAACTGATATTTTGAATAATTTACGTGTGCAAGTACGTCTGAAGGCACGCAAACCATTAAAACACTCAGTTTCGTTTCTTCTCATCGTACACACATCAAACTTAGCTGGACGAGTTCCGCAGCTTTAAAACTAAGAGAAACACATTAAATTTGACCAACTGACAATTAGATCAGTTGTTACTTGTTACAAGGCTCTTAAGTAGCGAGATGGGCGCAGCAGCTCGTCATGTTGGCCACGCTAACTTTGATGGACTTCCTCAAAATTTGTGACTTACTTCGAGGGTCGTTCTTATTTTTCAAGAAAGATTCCTCAAAGTTACCGACTTCGTCAAAGTTTTCCCTTTTCCCTCAAAAAATGGGACTTCGTTTTTAACGTGCATGCATGCCATCATAGACCCATGGTCAACGGATGTTGTCATGGTTTACTGGTTCCATAAATCTCTGGTCACCAAAATCCATGGTTTAATATATGTCCATGACTCATGGACAGGCCACTGATTATTTTACCCAGGGTAAGAGCATACAATATAATAGTTATGTGGCCCACCACGTTGGTTTTGATTGTAGAGCGAAACAGTTGGGTGGCTGTAGTTCACATAACGGCATGATTTACTTTCGCGGGACCGAGGATGACTACCGTTGCTGGGAAAGCAAAAATGCCACGGGCTGGGGCTACAAGGATGTCCTGCCCTTCTTCAAGAAGTCAGAGGACTGTCTCGATCCAGATCTAGCCAAGGACACGGTCCATCATAGCACGGGTGGACCTCTATCAATCCAGCGTATGCCGTACAAGGACATCAACGCACATCTGCTGTTAAAAGTGTACAGGGTGAGTGTTCTGCTCTATCGATATGTTACGACTTTCTAGCATTGTTAAAAATATTTTTCCTGTGAAGAACGCCCTCTGGAGCCCAAACGGTTAGAGATAGAGCCAAACGGACAAAATTTTGGTCTAAAGGGTTCTACTTTGACGAGATACCTCTAAGAAAGATGTAAAAGAAAGATGTTTTACAAGAAATGTTTTAGGCCTTTTTGTTTTTGATTTTTTTGACACGTCCACTTTTGAGCCAGAGGGCTCAAAATCAATACAGTTCTTCCTTTTTATGATCCAAAGTTACAATAAAAATTTGAGCTTTCTAACTCAAACTGTTCTCGAGTTATCGTGCGGACGGACAGACAGAGAGGCAGACAAACAGACGCGAAACTTTTTGATCATCACTGGAGTAATAGGCTCCGCTAACGCTCAGCCAAAAACAAGTTTTGTTCTTAACTAGGTAGATGTACGCCAGACCACGTCTCGCGTAACAGGCTTCGCGATATCTCACGAAACACAGTTACGCTGCGACGCGCCTGGCATACATCTACGTAGGCCTGCGGCGCTGACACCGGAGTTGGGCAAAAGGCACGATCGTAAATAGGCCTTCGGCCCCAAAAGTCACAAATTTGGTGCCTCGGGGTTTCACTTTGACGAGTTACCCCACCGGAGACCATAAAATATCTGAGAAAAACCATTAATATGTTTTGGGGTGATTTCCGTGTGAAGAACGCCCTCTGGAGCCCAAACGGTTAGAGATAGAGCAAAACGGACAAAATTTTGACCCTATGGATTCTACTTTGACGAGTTCCTCCTAGGAACGATGTTTAAAAAGAATTTTGTAATAATAATGGTTTGGGCTCTTTGTTTTTGATTTTTTTGACACGTCAATTTTTGAGCCAGAGGGCTCAAAATCAATACAGTTCTTCCTTTTTATGATACAAAGTTACAATAAAAATTTAAGCCTTCTACCTCAAACCGCTCTCGAGTTATCGTGCGAACAGACAGACAGACAAACAAGACAGACGCGAAACTTTTTGATCATCACTGGAGTAATAGGCTTCGCTATCGCTCAGCCAACAATACTAGATAGATGTACGCCACACCACGTCTCGCGTAACAGGCTTCGCGATATCTCACGAAACACTGTTGCGCTGCGACGCGCCTGGCATACATCTACCTAGGCCTGCGGCGCTGACACCCGAGTTGGGCAAAGGGGACAGTCGTAAATAGGCCTTCGGCCCCAAAAGTCACTTATTTTGTTCCTCGAAGTTTCAGTTTGATAAGTTACTCCACCGGACACCATCACATATATGAGAGTTAACATTTAAATGTTTCGGGGTCATTTCCGTGTGAAAAACGCCCTCTGGCGCCCAAACGGTTAGAGATAGAGCCAAACGGGCAAAATTTCGGCTCAAAGGGCTCTACTTTGACGAGTTACCTCTAAGAAAGATGTAAAAAAAAAATTTTCTTAAAGAAATGTTTTGGGCTGTTTTGTTTACGATTTTTTTGACACATTAATTTTTGAGTCAGAGGGCTCAAAATCAATACAGTTCTTCCTTTTTATGATACAAAGCTACAATAAAAATTAGAGTGTCCTAGCTCAAACCGTTTTCGAGTTATCGTGCGTACAGACAGACAGACAGACAGACAGACGCGAAACTTTTTGATCATCACTGGAGTAATAGGCTTCGCTATCGCTCAGCCAATCAGGATGAAACATTAGGGAAAACACTTGTCCTTCGAAAACGTATATCACTAACACACTACAAAGAGAATCTTTCTTTCATATCTTTCACTGCACTGCAAATGCCTTGCTTCAACACCATTAATCTTTCATCGAACTGACCCTTAAGCGTAGGTGGCACTACAAACATGTCCCTGTGTGTCTGGTTTACTGCAAAGGTTACTGCAGAAAACGATGTGGCCGGGATTCCAAGGAAATCAGAAGGTTTCTTTACAGGTTTCACACCTCTCAGAACAATGCAGCCTGCATTGTAGTAGGCCCTCTCATGTTCTTGAAACTTATCCATCACCCCATCAGGGTTGTTCTTAAACGATTCGAGCTCCCTAGGAAGAAATAAAAGTAAACTAGGTAGATGTACGCCAGACCACGTCTCGCGTACCAGGCTTCGCGATATCTCACGAAACACTGTTACGCTGCGACGCGCCTGGCATACATCTACGTAGGCCTGCGGCGCTGACACCGCAGTCGGGCACAAGGCGCGGTCCCAAATAGGCCTTCTGCCCTAAAAGTCACTAATTTTTGTTCCTCGAGGTTTCAGTTTGATTAGTTACTCCACCGGACTCTATCAAATATCTGAGAGTTAACATTAAAATGTTTTGGGGCAATTCCGTGTGAAAAACGCCCCCTGGCGCCCAAACAGTTCGAGATAGAGCCAAACGGGCAAAATTTTGTCCCAAAGGCCTCTACTTTGACGAGTTACTTCTAGGACAGATGTAAAAAAAATTCTTAAATGTCTTGGACTTTCTGTTTTTTTTTTGAAACGTTAATTTTTGAGCTAGAGGGCTCTTAATCAATACAGTTCTTCCTTATTATAATACAAACCTACAATAAAAATTAGAGTCTCCTAGCGCACACCGTTTTCGAAATACCGTGCGTACAGACAGCCAGACGCGAAACTTTTTATCACCACTTTAGTAAAAATAGGGTACTCCGGGGGCTCGGCTGGACCGGGAGGAGAAGAACAAAAATCGTCGGGCGCGGGGAGGAGCGGGGTAGGGTAGGGGCAGTACCCCGCTCCTCCCCGCGCCCGACTGGCCCGACGATTTTTGTTCTTCTCCTTCCGGTCTAGCCGAGCCCCGCACGGAAAAAAAGAATTAGTCCTCACAACTAACAAATTAGCTGATTTTGGGATAGCTAATCCCAAATTCCCTGTTTCAGCTAAAAGTTGGTTGCCACAGACAAGAGTTAGTTGCCACAGCGAAGCTGTCACTGCAAGAGCCAATCAGTTCGTTCTGACTACTAATAGGGTGTTTCGCTGTCGCTATATATCTGGTAAGGTGCCCTAATGTGGCCACTGTCCAATGGTGGCCATTTTTCTCGATTTCCAGCCAATCTGGTCACTTTACAATCTTGGCCTTGAAGTTGTGTTCTAGTAAGGTCCCTACGTGGGCATAATAAACCGCACTACTTCACATCGTTGTCTACATTGCAAGGAAAAGGGGTGGCCATCAGTGGGCAGGCCCATTCTTAAGGTGGCCATCATAGGGCATCTTACCCTAGTGACTTATAGGCCCTACAAAACGCCGCCAGCAGGCCAAGTTGGCTCGGTCCCTGCCGAACGGAGTTACCTGCGCAGCGAAGGGAAGCTGGCAACTTCGGTTGCCAAAAGGGTGGATCTGCTTGTTAACATTGTTTTAAATTTTCAGGAATCTGGACTACGGGAAGTAGACCTCAACGGTGGTAAAAACGAGGGTTACGCGTGGTCGCAAACGACCACAAAGAATGGGCGAAGAGTCAGTTCCAGCACGGCGTTTTTGGAGCAGCAGCGAGCTAAGCGTTTCAACCTGCACGTCGTTACACGCGCCCGGGTATCTAAAGTGTTGATCAATGTTAAGACAAGGAGCGCCGAGGGAGTGGCCTATACAGGCAGCGATGGGAAAGTTCGCACAGTCCGTGCTAGAAAGGAGGTACGAACTCACGGTAGAGGGAGAGAAGGTGGCGGAACGAGGAATTTGCTCGTGACTCTAGAATCTCGACAGGTTTGGGGATTAACGCCCCTGTCGGGG